CTGAGAAAATGGCCAAGACCACAATGTGTTCTTGTCTTTTCTGTAATTTTTTATATAAAACGTTGGCTTTCAGCGTATGGAAATGCGTACTCTAAATTCGATCTATAATAATTGTCATTATAAAGGGCCTTCTTCAAAGTTGTCGCTTGACCAGACATGTTTTAAAAAAGGCCTGACTCAGCATACTTTCCTGGCTCACGTCTAGCGTTGCTCAGTAATGAAGAGATTGTGATGACGTTGTTTAACAGAGATGACGTTAACGAGAACGTCGATCAAAAGACACAATGATGACAAAAGTAGTGAAGAAAGTGAAAAAGAAAAAGAAAAAGATAAAGGCGGCGCGTAATGCCAAGCACCATGACTGCAAGAACGGAAACGAAATGAAAAACACAATTGAAAATGTATTCCTTTTTAAAGGCAAGTGCGGCTTGCCTCTTCAGCATAAGCGTGCTTTCTAAGAAGCGGAACTGAACCAGCGTAAAAAAGGGGGAGGGGGCGCGAGACGGAACGCGCTATAGCGTTAGTCAAGGCACTCTTATCTCGGGGAGTACGGTAAAGCGCCAATCATAAGCGACGGGACTGTGAACTGCATCCCGTCGAACGCATCGCGCCCAGTGGCGGCATTATTTCGCTCGTTCGGCCTCTACTCACACACACACGCGCGCATACACACACTCACACACGTCTCTCTCTCTCTCTCTCTCTATCCGCTCACGCGAGTAGCAGGCAGGCCGTAGACTTGGGCTATCTGCAACTTGGATTGTGTTTTTTCAGCACGAGTGTGTGTGTGCACAACTTTACGAAGGATAATGGTTATCATGATTCTTTTGGCCAGTTTTCGTCCTTTGGTGCTTCATGTTTGAGACTTCTTCGATTGGATTTACCCGCAAACTTCAGACAAGTCCGCAGCGCCCGAAGATCGATTGGTTTGTGTTTGGAAACTGTTGAAATAATATTAGCCTACAAGTTCACGTCAATTGTACTTCCGAATTCGAATTCTGAGTTGCACGTGGAGTGCCTGATTCTTTTGTTCGTTCTCAGGAATCATCCTTGATTCAGTAGGAGGGGCTTTATAACTGCGTAACTTTTTTTTTCGTTTTTTTTTTTCGTCCGCAACTCGTGCAGTCAAGTGGAACTGAAATATAGACGTCTGGACCAATTACAACTCTTCTATTAACTATTAATTAAATGTTAAATATTCCAAAAATGTGTTCTGCATCTTCCTGTAGTATAAAGTTTATAACGTTTTCATACCTGCTGAAAACTAACACAGTTACCAGGGCCGAACGACTACTACTGTGACCAAGATTCCAGTCCGTTTAATTCTCTCAAGACATACGATTTAGTTCATATTGATCGCTCAAGAATGTGGGGCGGGTGGGCCTGGGAACTGGGGGTTTTGAGACCTTTCCAACAACCTGATGTTTCATCCAAGTAACAAGCCAACTGTTGCGTGCGATCTCGTTTTTAAATTCTTTTAATTCTTTTTGCTTGCTTGCTTGTGGG